TATATATATGAAGATGGAAAAGGAGGGTATAATGGAACAGAATAATTTATCCAGAAGAAAACCAAATGTTCTCACGAAATGAAAAAAAAAACTCAGAATACCCATAGAGTCCATAATAAACGTTATTAGCAAAACATTTATCATCAAATAAGACATTTTCTGAAGTGCTTTGAATAAAAACTGTAATTGCCAATCGCTCAAAATTTTAAAGTGCGAAAACAATTTTGTGACCAACAGGAAAGATTTGTTTTTTATAATGTACGAAATTGTTTTTAATGAATAAAAGGTATTAATGAATTTAGATATCAAGTGAAAATAGAGAAAAAATAGGAAAAATTAGCTGTGAAGAATATTGTGATTCTTGAGAATTTTACAAGTTTGCTGTTAAAATTAAATGAATGAGTTTTTTTTCCTTATTTACATTTGAAAGCAAAGATGAAGTTTTATTGTCAATGAAACATTACCAACAAAGTGATATAAAAATTCCTGGCCGACATGAAAGTAATTTTTACTCTGCTAAAAAGTGTTTGCGAAAATAAGATGATGAATAATCAAAAGTTTGAAGTTTCACAAGGTCAAAAATTTTTCACTCACTAAAAGATTACAAATAATCAAAAGTCCCAGTGGAATTCTTTAACTGAACAAAGCTTCGATACAAATATTTATGTTTTTAAACTATTTATTGCAAAATTTTAAAAAATTGGATCAAAAAGTCACAATTTTTTATTATTATTAGAAGTTTAACAAATCTGCATCTTTTAAAATGCAAAACGTTAGCAAACAATCGTTGATGGCCCACATTTCATTGAGGCTAATAAATTTGCTGCTAAATTGTTCAGTGATTTTTGGCTTAATGTGAACATTTCATTACGGATCTTGATAAAACAGATTCTATCTACATAAGAAAGAAGTTCGAGAAATACTGTAGCAAAATAATTTTGTTTGCAATCTAAAGAAGCTGGAAATGATATTTCAGCGGTAAATCTAAATATAAAAACAGACAAACTTCACAAGGTGTTACTTTAAAAGGTGATTAGTTAACCTTGAATAATCATAACGGAGAAAAAAATGGGCTGGCCACTGATAAAGAAATTTATTAAAGTGACAAGCTAAAAATGAGGGGCCGAGAATTCAAGAAGACTGGAATTTCAACTTCTCCGTTTTCAGTTGATGATGATGGGAGTTGCCTTACTGTAGAGAAGAGGCAAATAATTCTCTTCGTAAGAGTTTTTTAGAAACTTTACCGAATTTATGTATAAAATCTTTGATAACTTACATTATGTAGCAGAATTTGTTGGTACTAGTTGTTTTAAGGGTTGCTAAACGTCAATTTCTGCAATCTTTTTATTGATGAATTTGATTTTCTAGCGAAGAGAAAAGTAGCTAAAAGATTATCTTCAATTTTCTTGAGGTTTTCTATCTTTCACATTTGTTTCGAGTGTCTAAAAGTTGGTAATTTTAAGACGCAGATCAAAAAAAGTAAAAAGTATTTCTCAATTAAAATAACTGTTTGTATAGCAACAGATGGCTGTTTATCAGCGTAATTTTGACTTTACCATCTTTCTATACGCCTAACTGAGCACGTAAATCGATAAATAAATATAGGAAGAATAACTAAAATGTATAAATATAAATATATGCTTTGTTTTTTACTTTCGTATGCCCAAAGACTGATCAATTAAAGCCTCCTACTAATGAAGTTTTTGAGTGATTCTCTGTGAAACTTCAATAATTAGATAGGCAAAGAATTTTCGGGAATACTCAACACTTTAAAATAATGACTAAATCTGAACTGAAAAAAGGGCACGTATGATCATTTTTTATCACCCAAAGTAACCACAGAACAATACAGTAATTGTAGTATCAAATGTGCGCTTTTCTTTCTTTTGCTGAGTATTAATGGTTCTCAAGTCATTTTCAATAATAGGAACACAAAACATCATTATCACTAACTCGGTTATAATTATGGTCAAGTTTCTGATCTTGAGCTCATATCATGTGCTAAATCTTTTTCAGATGAAGAGAAATCCATCTTGTCCGTTGCTTCATGTGTTTGCTTGCATGCTATTTGTCAATATTTAAACTTTTCAAATACTTTGGAATTTCATACAAATGCTGAAATTGTGATCAGTCTGACAGGTTTTTTTCTGAACAATAATCTAAGTCTTTAGCTGTAAGCTTTGCTCAACTGATTCCAAGCCTAGTTTTGCAGAAAAATTGTGTGGCTCTTGAACTGCTTCCATGATTTTCACTTGGAAGCTTTCCGAAATTTCAACGTAAACTGACTTCGACTTCACATACTTTCTTTATTAATTACATCACGCTCCAATTTAATGATATTGGAAGTTTAATTTTGCTAATATAATTTTGAAATTTCAGTCCAGTATACTTAGTGCGTTCCAATTTAGTGCACTAATATCAAATATTAGTTATAAAAATAACATATTACAATAACGTTTTTTTTTTATTTCAAAAATTTATGGTACTGTCGTAAGCAATTATGTAAATGGTACAAGCAGTGGAAATTAACAAATTCTTTCATTCTTTATGGCTTTACAAACAAATTGCATACTACGAAATTTGCGAACATTTTACATTATACATATTTATATACTTCAAAATAAAATAAACATGACCTAGACATTTATAGTTCAAGCGAAAACACTTTGAACTGAAAGATTGAAAAATAATTTCGAAGCGAATGAATGTTTAAATCACAACCACCAAAGTTTTTTCCTCGCGATTTATCCAATATGATGATCACTTATCTTTGCCAGTGAGGACCTGTTACACATAATGTTTTACGTATACTATTCAAATGAAAATTGATTGATCGTTAAGATGACTTGTTAGTTCGAAGCTGAATTATGAATTTACTTTCAAATCATTTAGAATATCCAAATAACAATAACCGTGTAAATAAAATAAAAAATATGGGCAATTGAATAACCAATTTTTCTAGGATGCCGCAAAATTTCACTTGATACTAAACGTAAATCAATATTTTGATGAACAGATTCTTCACTTTCCGATCAATAAATTAGTCCTTAGTCTAATTGCTAGGAAAAAAATCTTTAAAACGATTTAATATACTAAAAATGCAATTAAGTACAACTGTTAATTTATTTCACTGAATTTCAAGAGGTGAATAAAACACCAATTTTTACATCATGAACTGAAAATCGTTAAACTCTCCAAAGAGTTGCATATCATTTTCAAATGTGAAATAAAGCATTTTGATATTATAATTTCCCAAAAAATTTTTGTATGGAAAAATGCACCTTTAAAAAATGAAAAAAAATCAAGTTCATAAAATACGTGATGAAGTTCCTTGCACCGCATTTTGAAAATACAAAAGAGAAATTTCAAAATAATAAAGCAAGATTATACTTACAATCAGTAATGAATATCCTAGAGTTTAGAACAATGATTTTCTAGAAATAAATAAAGAATATTCATGATAATGTTATATCTTATTTAGAATATTTCATATATACCTTTTAAGAAGTTAAAAATTTTGATGGCAGGAATGGCGGAAATAAGGATGACGGAAGTCAATATATTAAATTATGAGGTATAATTTCTAATTTATTTAAAATTCATGCATTTGTATAGCCATATTGTCAACAGAAAATAAATCTAAAAAAATTAAACTTGAAGTGGATCAAAATACCTAAATGAGACTGAGAGACGAAAGAAGAGTAAAACAAATCGTGTAATACAAACATGTGGAGAAATAAAGAGACACTACTAAACCTGAAAAAATGTATGAAAAATCAAACAAAAAATAATAATGATCAGTCAGCTATTGGTTGTCGGAGAATGAAGATGTATTGAAGCCACCGAAAGAGTTACAGCTGTATTGCGTTGACGTTTGTTTTGTAACCGTTTACGTCTTTCTACTTCTGCATCAGATAACACAGGTTTACCATCCATTCCTTCTGTTAGTGTTTCTTCACTACCAGTATGATTTGCAGCACTATCAGCAAGTTCCTGCAAAATAAATTTTACTCATAATTTTGCTTATATAGTAACAAATATATGACATGTTCGAGGAATAATTCACGAAAAGATATCATTTAATGAAAGTTTGCATCAAATAAATTAATAACAAAGTAATACTTTGTATTGATGTAGCTGTTGTCTGATTGTTTTGATTTCAGTTTGTTGATCTTGAATAACTTGCATAATTGCTTTTAAATGATTCATTAATGGTGCTGCTATAGCAGTCAACTTATAACATGCAACAGTTGGAACATCTTTTTCAACTTTATCCAATTTTAGTACCACTGCACCGCTGTTTGATTCCGATACATCTTTGCAGACACTCAAACCTTAAAAAAGGCACATTTTTTTAAACACCAGAAATGCAGCAATTATAACCATTAATTTATTTCACTAAATTTTAAAAGTTCAATAAAACTGACGTTTTTTTTTCTCACATAACTATGCGTAAAAATTAATTCATATAATAATATATATATAAGAAGTATAGATTTTGCAAAAATTAAAAAACAATCATTCAAAATGTAATGGCATATATTTTAAATATTCCTTTTCCTTTCAAAGGAAGTAAAAAATGCTATCGAAAACAATATTGACTATTGACCTTGATTAATTGCATCGAGCAAACGGTTCCCATGGACAATTGCACTCATCGCTAGCTCTTGACCATCACGTTGTTTCAATTCCGCAACAGCCATACCCATCAATTGTTCAGTTAATTTTTCAAGTTCCACTAAGTCACCTTTCTACAATTATTCCGAACTTTTACTGCGTGATGCTTTAATTTATCAGCTTTGATTTTCTAACTTTATACAAATAAGATATTACAGCACTTGTAAGAGTTAATTTCAATTCATGTCATATTTCACTATTATGTAACAAGATGAATAAACTACGCATGCTGAAAGCAGTACATTAAGCATATGCAAGGAAGAAAGCAATTAATGAAAGATAAAAGGAACATGAGGTTCAGGAAGAAATTCGGCCAATATAGCTTGTTTTTCCATTAACGCTTTCAGAATCAATTCATCATTTCTTTTCAATCGCTCTGTTGGAGTTAGAATCGGTTGTGCATGTTCTAAGATTGTTGGCTGTTGAACCGTGATTTCGCTGGCGTTAACAAGTCGTGGGTGAGTTGAAATTTGTACTCGTTCACAAGAATCAAGTTCTTCTGCTCGATATGTATTACTTCTATCTGTTCCATCCATTTCAAATGGACTAAAAATTTTTAACAGTTAAGTAGCATATTTAAACTAGATATATAAAAGTTAAAATAGTAAAATAAACAATAAGTAATTGCTCATAAGTTATTATTTTAATTTGTTCCAAAATATCAAAGATAATATTCAAAATTTCAATGAGTGAAACAATGTTCAGCAATTTGAAATGAGATTAAGAACTGTAAAAACAAATCAAAATAAAAAAGATTGCAATACTGCTCACCCGATATTAGTATGAGAATTCAAATCGTGTTGAATGTTCTCACTTTTTGCGAGATCGATTTGAGCCGAGATCAATTTAAACCACCTCAATTTAAAATTATTGTACTATGGAAGAAGTTTCAAATTTAGAAGAGCGAGAAAACATGAACATATACCACTGTATTTTACGTCAGTTTTACATTCAAAATAAGACAGTTCTAAAAATTACTTGAAGAGTGTATGAAAAAATAATTAAAAGTTGCATGAACAAATATATTAGTTAAAATTTTAACAATCACAGCATGACATAAATAACATGTCCGTAATTTTTTCTTTAAAAAATTTTACGTCTTCCGTTCAGTAGCAGTAGCTGTAACCAATTCATAAATTTGTGCACCCCGCTCCATCGTATTTACAATAAATAAAGCTCTTTTATCATTTGCTTTTTCTTTGGCGATTAAAGTTGACAGAGGTAAAATTGGCGACCATCGAGTATCTTTAGATGGCTCCTGAAACAAAAAAAAATCACATACTTAAATGAAAAAAAAAGTAAAACAAAACAGCTGGAACGGTGATTTACATCAATGTTAGCTAATACACTTCTCGACAAGAAGAACGATTTAAAAAACTGTTAAAATTTATTTAGATGGAAAAATCTGATCTCCAGATGATATCCATTATCATCTTGTGCTCAAGAAAATAATGCTAACGATATGCAATTTTCAATTTCATTTGTTTGCTTTTTTGAAAAATAACGTTTTTTTTTTATTGCATATATTTCGTGTATTTTTTTCCCTTTACATTATAAAATGAGAATCAATGCAAAATATCCAGTTTACAACCCATATCTTACCCTACTGACTTTACGTCCTTATAAACCAGTGATCAACGTGTAAATTAGGTTTACCACGATGTCATTTGAGATTTTATGATGTAGTACAATTATATTGCGAATATTTCTGTTGACGTTGTCGAATTCTCTTGAAATATTCCCCAACATTGACGTTTTCGGAATGTTTACCTGAACTTTCAAAAGTAATTTGCTTCCATCACCCGTTTTCGTAAGCAATATCAGCACGTTCTCGAGTAGAACAACATGCAATTCAATCATTTTATTTCGACTACATCGCCAGGTCAAAGGTCCATCATGCACCAGTTTGTAGCTGCAAATATAATGAGTGATAATTTGAAACAATCCATAAATTAAGAAAGTCTGTAAAATTTTCATTTATTAAGAAAAAGTGTACGCACTGTGTTAAATTGAGGGAATTGAAATCACCACCAAAACTCTCACGATCATACGAAGTTGTAACCAAACGCCTTTGCAACTCTTCCAATCTTCTCAAATTTTCTGCATTTCTTTTCGCTGTATTTACTGCTAAAATAAATGCAGACCTAAAACTGGATGCATGATGGTGATTTCAAAAGAAGAAACAACTAAATTCAGGAAGTTAACCTGAAAGAATTCGTTTGGCAGAGTTGACACTATTCAATATTTTTGTTTGCTCTTCAGAAGGTTCCTGTGTATACTTGGCAATGGTTTCTAATAACAATGGATATTTTACCAATCTCTGCATCTCAACAGGTAACATATCTTTTAATTGTAACTTACGGCATAACGGATTGCACTCAACTTCAATTAGAAAACGACTTAACTGATCGTCTTTTTCTTTTTTACATCTGAAACACTTTCTCCTACTTCAGACGCGTCCAAAAAATTTTAATTCTATTTAGAGCTATGCAAAAAAGAATGAAAAATTAACCGTTGTCGTAAAATATCCAATGCATGTTGCTGATGTTGACAAAAAGTTGACGTCGCTTCCATAAGTTTTAAACCATTGACACCACCAAACAGATCTTCCATTAGTGAGCCAACATTACCTAATAGACCATTCAACGTGCAGTCTCGTTTCCACTCCTCCTTCCTATTCCTCATCATGCTAAAATTCAATAATTAATTAATGCCTAGGGTAGTAACTTATTTTTTGATTGCAAAAGATTTTGTTTTGACACTGTAAGATTTTTAATATCAGTCTACATTTTTAATACATCTCTCCTAACCAGAAAATAAATTAATACCATAAGCATTAACCAATATCTATATTTATATAAGATTACTACGTATATATATATTGGTTAATGCCCAAATTTTATATTAAAAAGTTTTCATATTAAATATATATGAAATCCTATCTTCAAGATTTGGAAAGAACTTTTTTTTCTACTTGTTCAAAGAGAACAAAATTTTTTACATTCCCAATGCTAACTTTCATAGATTACTTTTAAAATAATTATCCAAAACTATATATTGAGATATGGAACAAATTTTCATATTAAAGTGTATATATATATGTACTAAAAAATAAAATACTACCTAGACATATTGCCATGTACTTCCAACAAATCCTCAAGATTTGGAAAGAATAATTTGATCACTTCTGGTGGCACGATATTTTGTAAAATCATTGGCTTGTAAAATACTTTGTAAAGTATCTTCAAGTTTCTTACATGAGTCCGTTCCGTGTGAAATAACTCTACAGATTGGATATAACTGAAGCAATACCATTTCTACTTGTTCAGACAGAACAAAATTTTTCACATTCCCAATGCTAATTTTCATAGATTACTTTTATAATAATTATCCAAAACTATGTATTGAGATATGAAACAAATTTTCATATTAAAAAGTTTTCAGTGAGCTATATTTAATATTTTACTTCTGAGATTTCTTTTAAAATCATTTTAATGACTATTTGGATATTTTAAAATTACACTTCTGAGTACTTTTATAATTTTCATATTTTAATAAGTGATCAAAGTGCAGACCATTGACAACTTCTTGACGCTTTTTTTCTTTCGGTTTTAGTCTTCGCACAACTTCCCAACCGACAAAACTTTCCAACGAGGGTACTTCAGTTTCAATCTACAAAATAGTGAATATTTTTCTGATAATTAATCTAAAGTACCTAACTGAGAATTGCTTTATTCTTAATTTGAAATTATTTGCAGCGTTAAAATTATCACTGCTTTACTCCAAGACAAATTTTGTATCATGTTACAGCGTATTCAGTTCAATTAAACTAGCCTCAAGATCACTATCACATTCACAATCTCCAAGTGTTGTTCTCTCAATTCGATCGATCATCATTCGACGAACTTCATCGTCCACTCCAGATGTATGGGACACTAATGAACTACCTGAACTTGTTGAACAATTGATATTTGAAAAAAATCAAAATATTGCAAAATTTGTCATAACTATTTCTTTTGATCAAAAACTTTTGGTTCTATTGCATGTTCTGTTTAAAATTGGCGTAATTGTGAAGTATAGCACGATTTTGCCTGACAACGAAGTTGCATTCAGTGGACATCTGGTAAGTGTAACCGGTGAAGATTTATCTTCGCTATCTACGTCACTTCTTGCTCTTCGCGGTCGTTCTTCACCTTCTTCTGGTGGTGCTAATGTACCTCCCCATGAAAAAGCCGATCGACCACGCCGACCATCTTGCATTTCATCAGCCTGAAATAAAAATGGGAAAAATTATACAAAAATATTTAAAACTCAATAACTGACTAACTCGAGAACGCATGCTTTGTGATCTGGACACTGGTTTCTCCATATCTGTTCCAATTCCTGAATCGGATGACGTAGATTTGACGTTGTCAACTCCATGTAACTCCTGGATGAAAAGTATGTTACAAAAACAAAGGTATAATAAAATAAAATTTTAAGAATTTTATCTAATGGAACAATTTTCGACATATTTTTTTGGTTTGTCACCTACTTTATCTGCAATAACAGACTTTGGATGAGTATGTTCAACTGTTGCTGAAAAAGAACCCTCATAAGATGATGGTTCACCCTCATATCTTCCAGCAGATCCCGGTCGTTTTGTTTTGCTTACTCCAGCTTTTTTTTGGGTTGCAGGATAACAGTGATCAGCAAGGGAGGATGTACATTGTTTGTGCACAACAACGTCACAGTCTTAAAGTTGTTAAAAATTAAAATGTTTACATTCAAACGACGTAAGTGAATGAATAATGTAAATATAACAAAGATTATGAAAAGAAATTGCAGAAAATTATTTAAATAACGACAAAAATTATTTGAAAAAGCAAGGCTTAATTGTGTAATAGAATACCGAGAATCTGTGATGAATTTGATTTTAAAAGGATTCAAATAATTACTTTGACAAAAATATGCTTGTGCATTAACGCCCCACACAGCATCACGACATTGATAACAGTAAATGGTCAAATGAACTGGACTCAATAAAAACTGATGACCTTTGACCTGTATTGACCGTTTGGATGCCATTTTCATCCTGAACATACCACCTTTATCCTTGGTCACAAATGTTGGACATCGATCCAAAATTTTTTCGTTCGTATTAGATCGCATACTTAAAACAACCTAGAATTAATTTAATGAATTTCTCTGAAAAAATTTTTTGAAATTAACAATAATCACAGGTAAATGAAACAATAGTAGTGAATAAACATTTAGCAATTCAAGTGCATTAATAATGCTGGATTTACTTTTGTCAATTCAAGTCCCAATAACGTCTTAGAGCAATAAAGAAATTATTTAAATTTAAAGTTTCAAATTTTGAAAAGTCAGACCCTGACATGAGCAGAATAAAAACTAAGAAAATATAATCATTGAGAAGTTTAACTGCATACATAATTAAGAAAAGAAGTTGTCATTATTCTTGCAACCACAGAAAAGACTCTACATGATTCATTATCATATCTCCTTAGTTATTTTTAGTTGAACCAAATTGATCTCATACTTTAAACTCATATTAGTTAGCTATGATTTGATGTATCGTGTTATGCTATTATGAACAAAAAAAAAGAGAAATATGAATCTGAATGCAAGTTTAAATTTCTGTGTAAGCAAATAAATTTACATATTTACATAGAGAAGTATTTTCCTAATATCTTAATCATATTTCCTATATAAATTAAAAAATACGCATTGGAAAAAAAATTAGAAAAAAGGAAAAATTGCTAATTATATACTATCAAGTGGCTTGAATAAAATTTTCGAAACAAATGCAGAAAAAAACATTCTTGAGGTAATGTTTTCAGCTTACCTTAATAACTGTAGCTAAAGCCGCAATGATAGCCAATGAACGTGATTCACAGTTTTCTAAGTCTTGATTCACCGAATTCAGCATATTTTCTAAAGAACGAATCAAGATAGCTTCTCCAACCCGAGTTTCCATCGCTGTATCACCCTTACTTATATGCGCCAGTTGATTTGCATCAAATAAACTTCCCAAGCCTAAGCAAGCAAACTTCTGATTTTTTTCTTTTTCCCTTTTGTTTAAAAAAACAAACAAACAAATTAGTTTAAAGTAAATTCTAAAAATATCAACATTGCTTATTTACCAACATATTAAAAAAAATATAGCAGTAGAAAGCAATTAGTATGAATATTCTTTTGCTAAAATTCTTGAGTGATTGTTTATAAAGGCTATTCTTAAAGCTGTTTCTTGAAGACATGCATGGCAATTATAAATATAAAAGTCATGAAAAAATTTTGACCAAATTTCTGTCTATTTTTTTATTCCCCTATTTTAAACTAAGTGATATAATAAAGTAAAAACGAAATAAAAAATCGTGCAGTAGCATTTGTCGACTCAAACTTTTACTTATTTCTAACAAATATATCATAAGGAAGTAAAATTAAAGATGATTTTAGTTGAAGTAGGTGTGATATGGAGAAACACGTGATGACCACATACTTGATATTTATCAATAATTATAAGAAAAAAAAATACTGCAAGATATTTTTGAAAGATTCATGGAAGAAACTTATTAACAGAAATTCACTTTACGTAAATGATAGCCCAACTTTCAAAAATGTATATGCAACTTCAGAGCTCAAAAGGAGCACAGAGCAAGTGATTGCTATCAAATTACAAAATTTTAGCTATCGAAACCTATGAGACGTTTCTGGCGAAAATCTGCCAAATTTTCGTTGATGTCATCTAGTGCTTTTTTTCTTGCTGAAACAAACACTTTAAGAAGCTGGTCAAGATCACCATCCATTGCCTGTACAGTTCCCGCTAATATCTAAAAAAAGCCTTTTGATGATTAAATTATATTCACTTCTAAAAAGTTGAATTATAAATATTAAACTGTTTAATAAATCAAAGCTGAACCTTGTCTATACTTTGGATCAATGATTGATCAATACTATCCCAAGAAAGTGGCGAATTTGGTATGAGAAAAGTAGAAAATATTTCGTAGGCCCATTTCCGCAGGTCTTTTGGACTAGCACCAGAACTTTGATAAGCATCCGTAATTAGATAAAAAAACTAAAATTACATGAATTATTTAATTCGAGAACTTGAAGAAATTTTGTGAGAATAGAGATGATATAAATATGTAGAAATGTAGAAACAAATTCAAATTATACCACACTGCTTGGATTGGCATTAGCTAAAAGATAATTGATGAAAGCAGCCAAGTGAGCCGGATGTGTTTTGAGGTCAGCAAAATTCGAAAAAGGTCCCTGAGCTTCAAGCTAAAATATTACCAGATTGTGCGAACATTTTCTAAATAAAATAAGAAGAAAAATTATTTTAAAAAATCCCATTTAAAAAAATAAGAAACAAGATTAAAATTTTAGCATTAGTCATTTTATGAAAATAATAAGTGCAACAAGAATCATAGCGAATAATTTCGTTAAAAAGAAAGCCGAATTAAATTGTCAATTTATAACTCATTTATAACCACAACGGTCAACTATATCACTGTAATAATGACTTGTGAAAAAGAATGAGTGCAATGATTTTAGAGAAGATAATTGATTATAACTGATACTTTTATAAATAAATTAAATGGATTAATGAGTAGTAATAAAAACCGCGATAAAGTAGTTATTATACACGTTATCTGTTAATTTTTAGAAACAGGTTTAAACGATAAAACGAATTTTAAAAAATTTTCTAAATTTTCACGAAACTTTTGTGAATACAAACGGGAAAATCAAAAGTCTGATGAAAGGCTAACATTAAAAGGAATCTCGGATTCTTCGTCATCCGTTTCCTCTTCCATGGGGATGATTTCTGCTGAATGAACAAAATGCATGCCACTATTCACCATCCATTTCTCCTGAATGATAATATTCTAATAAAACTAATAAAAATAATCATCGAGAAAAGTAAACAAACAGAATTAAAATACAATTACTAGGTAAAGAACATGTTCAAATATTCAAAAAAATACTACTACTGCATAGATTACTATTCAAATAATAATAATTACAGTTGAAAATAATGCAAATTAGTTAAAGCTGTATGCAAACGTAAAATGGGCATAAGGAAATTTAAAGAACAATTTACAATTTTTAAGAGCTTTTGTTCCTTGTAAAATACAACAAATTTTTAGTAGAAAAAAGTAAATAAATCAAAATAAAAGCTTATTTTTTTGATACTTTCTCGTTCAAATAATAAAATCATAGCGACAAAATTGTTTAAACTTGCGAAAATTGTGAATGATATGTTAGTAATTTTATCTTAAATATAGCACAATCATTTTGAGGATAATTGTTCACCATTACAATTGTGACTATGAAAAATCAAAATATGTTTCTTGAATAAATAGCCCAAACGAAAGGGTGAAAAAAAAGTTGGAAATATAAGCAATCAATTAAGTAAGCAACTAAACAGCAATCATTAATTATATCACTTATTTTTGCTAAATGTCACACATAACCTCATTACTTAGTTGTACTTCATAAAAAATTAGCATTTATTTTCACTCTTTATTTCTTCATTATGTTTCTCTATTACTAAGATTAGTAGAGAAAGTTGTGTAAGTAAGTAAGTTGGTTGGTTAACTAATAAGTAGTAGGGCAAAATAAAGAAATGAATGCCAATTCGAGTAAACAGCAAGTTGATCTTTCAGCTAAGGGCAAAAAAACACGCAGCTTGTGTATATGAATGCATTTCACTATCCATCATTTTTTGCTTAAAAAGGACTTACGTGAAGAATGTTTGCGGAAGAATAATTTGATAGAATCGAATTTACATATATTTACATATTTTACTCATCCTTTAAAAGTATGAGGAAAAGAACGTGAAGAGATGGAAAATTTAAAGGATCCAACTAGCTTGAATTTTTAACATATCTGACTAGTTCATAGTTTCATTTCTTGAGCTGACATAAATGAACCAAAGACGATAATTTCAAGTAAATTTAGCAAGAAACATAGTCATCAATTGAGACTTACTGCAGTAATCTATCTCAGTTTCTAACAAAATGCATGAAAAGAGCCAGTTTTTGGTTTGTCGCATTATTGAATTGTCTTTTCATACACGAAAGACTAAACAAATTTCGATCTCTTTCTGCCAAAGTTACTTCATATATTTGCATGATTACGTACATATAACGTTGAAGGCTAGCAATTTCAGTTCAATTTTAATCACAACGTAAACTTCAAGAAATTTTAAGCACATTTAACACTAATTTATACTTAGACCTACCAAACCATTTCATTGATAACCAGCAAGAATTTTAAGACAGAAAAAAAAAATGTTGATTTACTGCCTGAAAAAAGATCGTCAATATTCTTAGTATCACAGACACCTCCTAATATTCATGACCAAATTTTGTCAAAATTGAATGAAACATACTTTGATAAATAATTTAAATGAATTTCAGCGCGAACCTGAGGTAATATTCGCTCCATATTTTTTAGCTGATTTTGCAGACTTTCAATACGTTGCAAAGCTCGCTCTAGTTGTATCCCTTCCACTGATGTTTCCCGTAAACTCTATAAATACACGTAGTTTATAGCAAAACTTCACCAACTATAATTTCAGTCATGTTTCTTTCTTCTCCTACTGAAATCAACATTTAATTTAATTTTGTAATCCTTAGTTTTATTTTGTCTGCTACAATCACATAATTACTTTTTCTCTATTTAAACGGAATAGCGCAATAATATCTTATCTGATTAATAAATAAAAAACAAAAAAAGTTTGCTATACTTTCCAAATGCGAATTTTTTAAGCTGTAGCATTTTGAGAGTTGAGAAAAACAAATGACACAACTTAAAGTAAAAAATCTATTAGAGAAAAATTATGGAAGTATTCTTAATTTGTGCATGATACAGAGTAAAGAATACTGCCAGAATTAAATGATAGGTAAACATCCGAAAATTAATAAATTAAACATAAATTTTCTCGTATCTAAGCCATAAATTAAATTTTAACACTCGCTGACACAAATTTGTTTTTTTTATAACAGCATAGTATTATCTGCTAGATTTCTACTTTCTACTAAATTGATATTTTACGTTTTGAATCAAGCAGATTGTTCTAAAGAATAATCGTAGGAGTTTCACTAATTTCAAAAGTCATACGGTCAAACTAAATTTGCTAACGAAAAAAACAGAAAAAATAACATCGATAGATTATTCTCTAGAAGAGATTGTTTCTTTTATCAACCAAACAACAAAAAACTTAAGTCTGCGGGTAAGCTTAGCAAATAGTTGAATAAAATTATTTCCATTAACCAAGTAGCTTATTCCTTATTAAAACAAAAATATTAAGGAACAGTGTGGAAAAGTTGCAGTACTGATTCACTCAACTGTCTCAGAACTTTTAAAGCAATAAAAAATAATAAGTAGCTATAAAAGAAGAAAATAACACGAAGAAACAATGCTAATACTTCAACATGCCGACGTTCTTCATCCAACATCTGCCTAATAATTTTCACACGCTTTCGCTTCCATTCTTCTTTTCGATCGTTCTGAAAGATTAAATTCTTAGTAAATAAGGCGTGATATGACTCTTTGAAAGCATAAAATCTTAAAATTTAAACTGTATCACCGTTCTTTTAATATGAAAAATTTTTTATTTTCTTCCGATAGAAAAATAATAAAATCACATAATAATAAAATCACATAATCACAAATAATAAAATCACATAATCAAATGATTACTATGATATATATATATATAAATATAATTTTAATATTTCCGCTCTAAGCACTAAGAGTAAAAATCCTCATTTAATTTTGTTAACCTTAAATGATAGTTCAACGAACAAATTGTACGCAATGCGCGCTCATTTTTCAAAAATATAATGATAAGTAATACGTCAATGGGTATAGATTCGGTGACAATTGGTTTATTTTCATGTGATCGTAATTGTAACATATCTCCTACGTCAAACGTAAAAGATTCTGGAGGTGGCCCCTGCAGTGTTAGTGCAACCGTTTGGCCTCCTGAAGTGAGATAAATTTAATTAAAAGTTGAACTACACTGACAAAAAACTATCGTTGAAAACCAAATTTTACTACAATTTTTTTGGATAAAAATATTTCTAGCAAAACTGGATGCTTAAGATATTTTTTTTTTGACAAATAGAACAAACCGCTAATTTTTAATTAATAAAAAAATTACAAATATCAGCTACGAAATTTGTAGATGTAAACTAGCAATAAAGTACAATTTGAAAAAATGAATCAAAATCAAAAATTTATCAAGTAGAACATTAAATAAAAGGACTGCAATGGCTGATAAAATCCAAAAATTTCAATCAAATTCTAAAATGAGTAACAGCAATTTTTTGCACCATTTGGTTATAAGCTGTTTGAGAAAATGAAGCAAACACATGTTATATTTGCTTGGAAAAAAGTTTTGCTGGCTACGTTTCAAAAACTTGCACAGATTGAGAAATAAATATAAAGCATAACCTGTCATAAACATTTAATTTCAAGCAAAAATGAAATTTAAGATAATTAATTTCCAGAATAACTGTTCATAAACATAAACGGAAATTCTCAGCAAAATCCAACTAATGAATTTTTTTATTGGCCAAAAGATCGAAAAGAGTAAAAAGAAAATAATAACAAAAACAATTGTTAAAATTAGCATACAGAAACAAAAGTTCAATGCGGTACTTAAAGACTTGAAATAATTTTGTGCCCTGCAAAATTATGGAGAACTCAACAATTTTTTGAGGATAGCAAATATTCGATTTCTAAAGTTCTTTCTGAAAATATCTCATGCTTTTGATGAAAAAAATATGAATAAATATGAAAAAGAAATGAAAATTGGTGAAATTAAGATTTTCGCTTGGGAAACAGAAAGCATGACCTAAACCGAACTCTCACAAATAAATGGCTATCAATTGTGAATGATGATGGCACCTATAAAATTTTATCAATGGCAGGTTGATAAAAAAATCTCAGGACTTAAAATCATCACATTTATTGCGAATTCAGAAACAAGTTTAAATTCCAACCATAACATTTTTTTTGGTTTTTCTTTTCTTAATATAATAAAAATTTTACCAGATATCATGCGAACAACTTCGAGATGATTAGAAGCAGTTACAGGCATACCATTAACTTTCAAAATTTTATCACCTTGTCGGACACCAGCATGAAATGCTGCACCATCAGGTTTAACGGTATGAACAAATACCGGGTGATCCCCTGTTACGGTGAGGCCGTAGCCATCCACCTGACGGGTGACCACCACACAGCGTTGTATTAATGGAACGGTCGACTGCAGGGCTAAAAGAAATAGGTAATGGTGATAATTAATAACATAACAGAAAACACGGTAATAAGGATTATTATGATAATGATGATAATAATGACAGTGATAGTAACAACAATAATAAAAACAAGAAGCTTGAATACGATTTTCGATTTAGCGCCTTAAGCTTGATTACTTGAGCTTTTGCCGGATGAGATATGGATAATGTGCAAAATGTATAAATAAAAGTTATGATCAAAGAAAAGCACCAGATGGCTCAATTTTTCAAGTTAATCTTAGTTAGCTATGCTAAATTATTTTCACACAATGTTCCTTATCACTTTTTAACAAATTACACTTCATCAATATATCCTTTTTATTTACGATGATGTAACCTCATTGAAAAATATATGTTAAATCCATCATTTTCCATCTTTCAAAAAAGAACGATTTCATCCTACGTTAGATTAGATTAAATTTCAGTGCATCAAAAAGTTTTCTTTAGCAACGAGATCATTTTTTTTGTTCCGAACCAAAAAAATTCTTCAAGTAAATGAGGTTGAAGCACTAAGATCGGCACACTTTGAATGATTTTGCATTTTCCACGAGATACGTATCATATATCTGAACAGCTAGTACTTTTATCATTCTAGCAGAAACGTTCCCTCGAGAAAAAAAAGAGTGAAAGATTGAAGCACAAGTACGCCAGATAGCTTTGCATTTTGTATCGTGAATCTGCGAAAAGATATAAAAATGGGCATCATATGTAGAAGCACAGAAAACATTGACTTTGAAATAAACAAATTTAAACGATCGATGGCCATTGTTCCGGATGTTAGTAACTTGCTTAAACGGATCTTACTTAGTTCGTTAATGTCTAGTTTAAGATGCTAAACTTGGAAACATACTTAACCTCCACAAACACATGCCTATACATGCATGTATACATTATGTTAATGTTAACAAATGATTGAAATCCAAACTTTTGGAATTTCATTTCTTCCAAAAAAGGCAAGCTAGATGAAAAGGCAGGAGACAACAACGGCAAACGTCTTTGCTAGCTGGAAATTTAATAAATTGAGTTAAAACTCATTTTCTTATTAATATCACGTCAAACAATTATTGTTGCTTTTTTTGAAATGAAATAAATTTGAGCTGGAAAAATTAGTGAAAAATTGTAAAAGTTGTCATTATTATATGCTTGAGAGCACAATTTTAATTGCTTATTACGATTAAATATCGGCCAGTATGAAATCACAATCAGTTAAATATCAAATACTTTAACGAAACTTGGCAAATTTCACTACATAGAGTTAAAGTCATATATCGGAAACCTATTACAAGAATAATGAAATATTCAGAATATCTTTCGAATGCGCAACAATTGCTTACAGTCTTTACTTGCATGAATGTAAAAAAAGTGACACTTGTCACTGTTAGTTTGAGATACTTTGAAACTTGAAGTATTTAAAAATTATCGTTAATTCTTTTTAGATTTGATATTTTTGAGAAAAATATTTGTTCCGAAAAAAGATATATTTCAAACGAATAAAAATCCAATTCATTTCGTGTTATCACCTAATATTTTACATTTGAAAAATAATGCTCTTATTTCTAATTCATGTGTAGTTAAGCTCACAGAAAAAATTAATTGCAAGTGAATGATAATTTGAAGATACACAGTGGAAAACTGACAAGCATCAATCCACATCTGGCGTGTAAATTTCTAAAGGTGAAACTTTCATGCAAATCATTATATATGTAGTATTAAAAAATTCTAAGAAAAAACTGGCGTAATAAAATTGGTAAAAAGATCAAAATACATCGAAATAAAAAACGACAAACAAATAAACAACACTATGACTAAAAGTGATGATCATACATAGAAGTTAGACTAGAAATGATGATTTTACATAGAAGTTAGACGTTCTGCACTTCAATTTGTTGTGATTTTTGAAAAATGAGCAATGAAGGAAATCAAAATAAATTTCGTTGATAAAATGAAGTTAGGAGAGCGAATTTTTTGGACGGAAAGCTTATGATAAAGAAATGCTTGATTAGATGAATAGATATAATGCATGACTAAGAGGAGATTACAACCGAACTTATTCTGGTTATGGCCATTGCCCTTCGCGATATTTATATCCGCTCATTTTGTTCATTCAATTTTTCATTCTTTATGCTATATACAGACACCTCCGAGTAAACAATCTGTAACTCCATAGATTTTTTTTCTATCAAATTCTACTTCATACTGAGCTTTTTGAACTCATTATTTTCAAGCAAAGATGATTTCACATACTTTTAGCACTATTAATTTCTCTTTGCAACCATAACATTAAAAATGGTTTATAATATTTGCATTATGATGTAAATATAAGTGCTATTCTTACAATTTGACAATTTATAACAAAAATAATTTCTAATTTTTTACCAAACTGTTAAATATATACTAATATTATAAAATAGTTTTCTCTCTAGCCACCATTCTAAAACAATAGAGCAATAGTATAAATTTGAATTTAAAAAAACTCAATGAAAAATTTGATTTTACTGATATGAAAGCAAATAGCTTATTTTTCTTCATTTTTAAAAACGAATGAGTGACATGAAGAAAAAATGATTTGATGTTGAAAAAAAAATAAGTTTTTTAAAGAAGCATAAGAAAAGACAAACAATGGACATCGTAATTATGCAAACAGATAAAATCTGAAGTAGTTAACGGCGTCAGGAATTGCTTACCTTATATTTTTATTTGCTTCATGCAAAGATGTTTTTCTAGAAATGGAATTTGCAATTTTAATTATGAAGTAATATTCTAGTGTTTTATCAGCAATTCATGCACTTTATTACTTTATGCTTGCAAAAGCTACCATTATAATAATAGTTTTTTTTTAAATTTGAATGTGGAAAATGGACCAACATATGTTGTAATACCTATTTGTTCATATTAAAAACATTATCATTTAAAATGAATAATTAAACAAGTAAAAGTTTCGATAGTACTGATCGGAAACATGCACTCGATAACTATTGAAAAGAAAATTCTTGGTTAATTGATGTACAATTTTCAAATATACGCAAAGGCTTTTTATTTGTCTCAATTTCTGCAGGCTGATTCTCATGTATCACACATAGGCAAGATGATATTCAATTTAGAAACATGCCAACTTATAAAACATAAAAAATATTGAAAAAAAAAAGCTTAAATCATTCAATTTCATTAATAATACTTAGCAATAACACGGTATTGAAAATAAAATTTTTGGAGAAAAAATTTCCAAGTTTTTCAATCTTCTACACTCTACCTTCTTCTTTTGGGAAGAAGAGACAAGAAGATATATATCTCTAGAGGGTAAAAGTATGATGTTTTCATTGTTAAAGAAGTGAATGGTATTTGAAGCAGTAGGTTATTAGCGAAGAATGTAAGATTATAAACGCACTATATCCGCACTTTTCATATTATTGAGCTAGCAAGTGTAAACACTTTTGAGTGCTTACAAGTAGTCTAGAAAGTAGAATGAGATCTTTCCAAATTTTACAAAAACACTGTGGCAAAGCAAAATAATATTTCATGCCTATAAGTTACAATATTAATGAATACAATTATTGTACTGCTTTCTCTCTGATAAATTAGATACAAGTCTGATACTGTAACTTGATACTTCCGACTGGTAATTTAAAAACTAATCTGTCATTAGATGTCAATATAATTTATGAACATTGATTTACTCAATGTTTCATGTAAACAAAATAGTACAGATATTTCGTTGCCATTTTAGATCAGTTTATCTTCAGATCAAAACGTAACATAGGAGCTATTAAGATCGTTTCCTGCACAAAATATATTTTGTATATATTTTGCAGGAAACGATTATAAAAACAACGAAATTCATTTATTTCGTATAACCAACGGGCAACCAAATCATTAAAGTAATTATTCCGTTTTCTACTAAGTGGTATAAATTTTATGAAGCTGGCAATAAGCAAGTACTTTTATGTCGTTAAGTAGCTCAATTTCCATGACTTACAAGACTATGAAACAGCACTTCTAGGAGATGGAAGGTAAAATTAATTAAACTAATCAGTAATATGTTCAGCTTTACTTTTGGATAAATTTTTGAAAAAAAGAAAATTTCATGAGTTGATTATTTCTTGTAATGTTTTAAAACTATTGCTAATACTGAAGGAAAAACTTATTTTTAAGCTTTCAATGTTTTCCGAAATGATGTTTGTTTGAGTACTACGCAATATCAAGTTTGCATATATCTTAGAATGTTCTATAGGAAAAAACTATAAAATTTCTAACTATTTAAAGTCAGTTTATATGAAAAAGTATGTTCAGTGAATAAATGAGTATGAAAATGTGTTAAAAACATACTGAGTAAACGAACTGAGATTTGTGTCAAAAAAATAAAAAAACAAACAAAATACAAATGCGATTGACAATGAGAAAAATGAATTCAAATTAATTGCGAAAAGAGAAAAAGCTGTGCTGGTGAAAAAGTATTGCCAAATTAAGTTTTGTATTACGAATAGGAATTAAAACAAGAAATGCTTTTCATGAAAACAAGAAAAATTCAAAAATCGCGATTGCTGATACAAAAATGAACAGTTTTCTTTTTACATTGCCTTTAATTTTTGCGTGAAAAAAATCAAGTTCCACATTCTCTAAATATTAGGAACAATTTTTTAGTTTTCAAGATTCCTTAAAACTTGACAAAAATTTTTTTGACTAATAATTGGATAAATCCATTCAAAAATTTTGATAAATTGAGTGTCTTCTTTTCTAAAAAATGATTTTCAAATAAATATCTTTCTTAAAATAAATTTTTCAAAATTGTTTACTGATTTGTCATAAACGCAGTTTTTTGAAAATGATGCACATGAAATTATTTGCATCAAACAATTTAGGTGACCACAAATTATTGTGTATTTGCAGATAATCAATAGCATACAATTAAGTAGATCAACAGTCAGTAGTAATCATGAATTCATTCAATATGTCACAATAAAAATTTTTGTGATTTAAAGCAAAAAAAAAGAATTATACCTGATAGTTTTAAAACACTTCACGAAATTTGGTTCAGTTTAACTTTCCAAAAATGTTAGCATTTATGTGTTACAGAAACAATAATCCATTGCATATTCGTATGTTACTTTAGTAAAGAGAAATGAAGCCACATTTAATATAAAGTTATAAAATGAAATATGGTGCATTTTCTATAGAATCTACAATTATTATATAACAATAACAATGTTGAAAAAAGCACAGTTTTAATAAAAACAAGAAAATACCACAATATTAGGACAGAATAAATTTCTGACAGACAAGACAGCTACCATATTCAAATTATTCATTATATTCAAACTTTTTGTTCGAAAAATTTGTCATTAAATCAATTTTTATAACTCACTAAAAACGCTGAAAAT